TTTTCTTTTTATTCTATTTATTTCTTTTTATTTTATTTTATTCTTTTATTCTTGTTATTAAATAAATTTATTATTTATTAAGCACTTTTAGTACAATTGCTTAATAATACCTGTTGACCTATGCCCAAAGGGCTACAAAAATGTGCATACCCTTTGACCCAGCAATAGCACTTCTAGAGCTGTATCCCAAAGAGATCATAAAAATGGGAAAAGGACCCACATATACAAAAATATTTATAGCAGCTCTTTTTGTGGTGGTAAAGAATTGGACATTGAGAGGATGCCCATCAATTGGGGAATGGCTGAACAAGTTGTGGTATATGAATGTAATGGAATACTATCGTGCTATGAGAAATGATAAACAGGCAGACTTCAGAAAAACCTGGAAAGACTTGTATAGTTTGATGCTGAGTGAAGTGAGAAGAACCAGGAAAACACTGTACACAGTAACAGCCACAGTGTGCAATGACTAACTTTGATAGACTTAGCCCTTCTCAGCAATGCCAGGATCTAAGACATCTCCAAAGGTCTCATGATGGAAAATGCTATCCACATCCAGAAAAACAATCATGGAATCTGAATGCAGATGGAAGAATATTATTTTTTTTCTTCTGTTTTGTTTTGTTTCCTCTTTCTTGTGGTTCCTCCTATTGGTTCTAATTCTTCCTTACAACATGACAAATGTGAAAATACGCTTAATAGGAATGTAAAAAAATTTTTTTAATGAAAAATAAAATAATACTTGTTGACTATGGGTGTGAAAGAGACAGAGGAAAATGAGAAACAGAAAGAGAAAAAAGAACAGATTCAGAAAGAAATGAGGGCCAAAAAAAGACAGATAAAAACAGAGATAAAGAAGTGAAAAGGGAGACAAAGGGATAAAAAGAGAGAAAGATGCAGAAAAACAGAAGAAATCTGAAGAGAAAAAGAAACAGAAATGAAGAAAGATGAAAAGCTAAAGAGGAAAACAGAAGAGACTGAAAGGCAGAGAAAGAGATAAAGAAAGAATGAGTGATAGATGCAGATACACAGAGAGAGAGAAATGGAGAGGAGGGGGGAGGGAGAGGAGAGGAAGGGGAGAAAAAGACAGGGAGAGCAAGAGAGAGAAAGGAAGAGGAAAGAGAGAGAAAAGAAAAAGAAAGGAAGGGGAGAGAGGAGAGAAAGGGAGAGGGGAAGGGGGGGTCATCTTGTCTATCTTGTCCTTGCCCCTGTCTCTGAGGGACTGGCTCAGCATTTTATGCAAGCAGCTACATCCCTACCCCATTGTTCATCCTGGCATCTCTCACCCTCAATCAGGAGGCCAGCCTTGAATCCAGCCTCCATTCCTCATGCTGTGTGCCATTCCTACCCATCTACCTCACTCCCAGTGTAGATCCTGGATGAGAAGGCTTAGAGGGCAATGAAGTAGCCCTGGAGAGACCCTGTCTCCCCTGTTTCAACCTTCCCTCTGACCCAAATCAGAGAAATTTCAAACACCTGTAGACCATTTCTCGGTCAGAAAGTATTGTCCCTCCTCCCTCCTCTCCACACATTCTTAAGGCCTGAGAGGCCAGCTCATGCCCTGCCTCCTGCAGGCAATCCTCCCAGAACCTGACCACAGAGACCACCCCTTTGTTAGGGCTCCCATATGGTCTGGCTTTTGATTTTCTCTGGTCCTTCCTGTTTGTCTGTTCCCCGAGTGTGAGCCCTGTCTCTTCAGCCAGGTTAGAACATACCCCAAAATCGAGGCTAGATCTCTTCCTCTGCCTATGGTGGCCCCTAGGATGGGGAATTTAGGAGGGGAGGATGAATGGAATCTTGCAGTGGGGTAGAGAAGTGTTATGCCAGAGATTTGCCACTAGAGGGAGGCACGGAACAAAAGACAGCACTCCTCCAAAAGCGTGGGTCCCTGCTCTCCCAGCCCTGGAAGTCAGTCAACAAGTATTTATTAAGCACTGACTGTGTGCCAGGCACTTCACAAAGTACTGGGAGTACAAAGAAAGACAAAAACACTATCTCTGTCCTCAAAGAGGACACATCACAAGGGGAGGACCAGCACAAAAATAAATATGTACATACATAGAAGATATATAACTGGAGATAACCTTAGTGAGAAGGTGGGATTTGAACCGAGTCTTGGAGAAAGCCAGGGACAGGAGAACCTGATGCCCCACACGGACTCCAGGCCTGCGCTCCGACCATTCCCGCTGTCTGGCCTTAGCTGTGATATCAACCCAGACACCAAAACCACCCCCTCCCGACAAAGTTGAGTCAGCCCTCAGGTTAGCCTTGTGGCTTCTCCCTGCCCAGTGTCTGTAGCTTCCCCTCCTCTGCATCCTCATGGGCTCATCCCCCAGGGCAGAAACCTCCTCACTGGCCTCTCCACTTCCAGTCCCTAGACACAGAGAAAGACAAAGTCAGAGAGAAAAAGAGAGAGACAGACAGAATAGAGAGAGATGGGAAGAAATGGAGAAAAGAATGGAGACAGAGAGATACAGAAAACAATAGAGAGGACAGACAGCCAGAGAAAAATGAAGAGACCCAGGGAGGAATATAGAGAGGGACAAACATACAAAAAAAGGGAAGAAGAGAGACAAAAGAATAAAGGGAAATAGAAAGAGACAGACACAAAAGGGAGAGAGAGATTAAGAGACAGAGAGAAAAAGATGAGAAAACACAGGAGACCTGGCTCTACCACTTATTAGCTGTGTGACTTAACCTGATTTAACCTGAGTCAGTTTCCTCATCTGTAAAATGGGAAGATTTTTATGAGGATAAAAGTAGCTGGTGTATGTGGAGGCACTTTAACCGTAAACACAGCTTTCTGAAAAAGAACTTAATAGTAAGTCTGCAGAGAAATGCTTGGATTTCTCTATGCCATTTACTTTGCTTTTCTGATCTTGGTTTTCTTTTGCTAAAATTAAATATTTCATGAAAAACATGCTATTGAAAATCAATCTGACTACCTAAACTTGTTTAGCAACCATTTTCAGTTAAATTTATTTCAGTATAAAACTAGAAACACAGAAAGACCTGAAGAAAGAAAAACAGAAAACGCCATCAAGACAGACAGAAAAAGAAAAAAATTGAGACAAACATCTGTTGCCTTCTCTCCATCCCGAGCGGGCTGATCCCACAGCCCCTGCCAATTGCACCATCTCCACCCCTGAAAGATTCACAGCACCCTCCCTTCCTCCAGACTCTTGTACACAGGGGCCGTGAGCACCTTGCACAGCCCTCCTCTGACAACATCCATCCCCTACCTGGAATCTCTTTTGGCTCACCGCTAACCACAGAGACTGAAAAAGGAAATACTAACAGAAGAGAAATACTGGGCCCGTCCCATCTGCCCAAGGGAGCAGTTCCGTCAGGTTTCCACCAGTCATGCAAGCCTGGCATTTTTAAAAGTCAATGATGCTGCCATTGGGCTCACTTTCCCAATGCCAATGGGTACTCCAGACATCAGCGCATGACCTGTGTCCCCCAGTCTACCTGCAGAAGAAGCCCCTCCACCTCCTACCAACAAGTGGCCGTGCCAGCTTCTCCTCTCAAGGAAGCCCGTTTCTCTTTGGCTCTCCCTTAGGACGTCTGCCGTTACATCAGGCCTCTGCCTCTCTGCCTTTCTCTACATCCACTGTTCCTACTTCTCCCTCCCACTTTTGAGGCCAGGCAGACCAGTCCTAATCCATCGTCCACAAAACGCGTCAAATAGTTAAGGACAGACATGGCGTCTCTCACAGTCTTGTCTTCTCTGGTTTACACCTCTCCAGTTTTTTCAATAAATCCACATGAGGGAGGGTCTCCAGACCCTTCACCATCCTGGTCGCACTCCTCTGGATGTTTTCCAGCTTCCCGCCATCCTTCCAAACTTCATAACAATAGTGCAGAGGTGGTCATGCTAGGGCAGAGGACAGCAGGACCAGCCCCTCCCTAATGCTGGACCAGCTGCTCCTCTCGATAAAACCTGGCATCAGTTGGACTTTCTTGGCTGCCATATTATACTGTTGACTTAAAACCCCAGATTGTCGCCAGGCTGCCTTGCCATGCCTTCCCCACCTACATCGGTGAGGTTCATTTTTTTTTAAGCCAAATAGAAGACTTTACATTATTACTCTCCAGTTTCCTCTTATTAGGGTCATCCAGACATTCTAACCAGGCAAGATCTGGGGAGGATCTTGACTCTTTCATCCAAAGTATTAACTGACGCTTAGCACCTTTGGGTCATCTGCAAATCTGTTTAAGCCTGTCATCAATGCCTTCTCCAGGTCTATGATAGAAATGTTCAACAGTCCAGAGCCAAGCACAGATCCCTGAGGCACTCCACTGGAGACCTCCTGCCAAGCTAGCTTCAGATCATTAATGACTCCAACCATTCAGTCAATAAGGAATCCACCGATGTTTCTAGCCTCCGTGGCTCGCTCTCTCTCTCTCTCTCTCTCTCTCTCTCCTCTCTCTCTCTCTCTCTCTCTTCTCTCTCTCTCTCTCTCTCTCTCTTTTCCCACAAGGAGAACAGGAGGTTTATCAAAAGTTTGTTAAAATCTACATAGATTACATCGATGGCACCACCACCCTGACCTATGAGTTCATGACCCTGTCCAAAAAGGCAATAAGACTTACCTAAAGTGACCTGTTTTTAAGAAAAATCAGATTACGAGATTCAAGGCTGCCCCGATTTTTCTGTCTAGCCACACTGGATCCTCCTCTCCAGCTGGACAGGCTCTCGGCCTGCCCAGAATTTCCCCATCTTGAGCTTTTGCTCCCCACTTCCTCTCTGCCAGGAGTATTCTCCCACCCCCATTTTCACCTACTGAAATTTCCTACAGTCCAAATTTCATTGTCTATATTCAAGTATTGCCTCCCTCAGAAAACTCTCCCTACAACTGATCTGAGTCCCCAAGCCTTAAGCCCCGTCCTCCTCTCAGTCCTAAAGCGTACCAAGGATGAGGGCCAGTCTCCCCTGTCAGCAGCCCTGAGGCCAGAGCTATGTCCAACGTTCCCTCCCTGACCCCAGCTCTCCTTACCTCACCAGAGGTTTGGGTGGGCCACTCCGAGGTGGAATGCAAGGTGCTCTGGCCTCCACCTGGTGTCGTTTGGCAGGCAGTGGAGGCAGCATGGGGTCCCTGGATGGGCCAGGCTCCGGAGGAGCAAAGGGGGCAGGAGGTCGGCAACTCCTTCGGGGAGGGATAGGTGGGGCAAAAGCTGAAGGAACTAAGGTGGGGGTCTGAACTGGGGCTGGGACTGAGACTGAGACTGAGGCTAAGACTGGTGATGAGGCTAGTGCTGGTCCTGGGGCCAGGGTTGGGACCATGGCTGTGGCTAGGGATGGGGCCAGGGCTGGGGCTGGGGCCAGGGCTAAGGATAGATCTGGGGCTGGGGCTGGAACAGGGGCTGGGGCAGAACGAAAGACATGGCGCTTGGCAGGCACAGGCCGAGGAGGTCCCCGAGGGGCAGGGGCAGGGGCAGGCCCACGGGGCTCCTCAGAGGCAGTGGCATAGGCCCGTTGGAGGCCAGACAGGATTCGTCGGCGATGCCCAGGCATCGTGACGCCCATGTGGAGGAGTTGTCCATCATTCAGGCCCCAGCAGTCAGCTGCCCGCATTAGCCCATACTGCTCAAAGTGCCCAGCATACTGCTCCAGATGCAATGCCCGCAGCCACTCAGCCACAGGCAGCGTAGCCCCTACCTCCTCCGCCATGGCCTGGAGGGCAGCAGGGGCACTGGTAGACAATTGGAACCTCAGCTCATCCCCACCTACACCTAGAATCAGACACACACAGACAAAGAGAGAACCAGGTCAGAGGGCAGAAGGGACCTCAGAAATAGGGGTGAGGGACAGAGCCAGAACCAATGCCTTATACCCCCTACCCTCGTGGTAGGAGGAGCCCCAGACCTGCTAAGGAGGAGGGGGAATGGCACCAAATGAACTGAAAAGGAGAGACAAAGACACCAAAAAGGAAGAAATTATAATGACCCCTCTTCGCTTCTCTGCAGAAGTTGAGGACCATGGGACTTTTTATGTCTGTATATATATTAGGTTTGCTGATCTTTTTAAAAAAATTTTCCTTCTTTAAAAATTCTTTATTATAAGGGATAGCTCTCTGAGAAGGGGAGAGAGGGATACAGTGGGAAATGTAGATACATGAAAACAAAAGAAAAAATAAAAATTTATTTTTTAAAAAAGAAAGGCAGGCAGAGACAGAGACAGTGCTACACAGAGGAAGAGGCAAGACTCGAGGAGAGAAGAATAAGTATGAAGAGAGGGATGTCAAGAGTAAGAGAGGGAGGGGCAGCTAGGTGGCACAATGGATAGAGCACAGGCCCTGAAGTCAGAAGGACCTGAGTTCAAATCCAGCCTCAGACCAAATACTTGATACTTATTAGCTATGTGACCTTGGGCAAGTCACTTAACCCCAAATGCCTAATTTAAAAAAAAAAAGAGTAAGAGAGGGAGGGTTAAGGCAGGATCACACAATCAAGTGACAGATCACATCTCCCTTCCTGGGAGGCCTCCTCCCAGGAGCTCCCATCCTCCCTCTGCCAATCCCTTTCCCCTCCCACCTGTGCAGAAGGTGACGTCTCCCTTCTACCTCCCACAGCAGCACCCCCCCCACATTCCCAAAGGTCATTCCTCCCACCACTTACCTGGTCACTAAGGATGGCTGGAGACTACACCAGGGGGCTCCCCATGGCCTCAGAGGTGGGAATTTCAGGGACAGAGGCCCAGGGAGAGAGGCTTTTGAGTTCAAGGTTAGTAGGGAAGCGGGGCGGCCCTGGAAGAGGGTGGGTGAAGGGTCCGGGTCTGGTACTGGAGCTAGAGGAGGAATGGAGGGAAATAAGAAGGTCAAGAAGGTAGGTCAGACCCATGCCTGGAAGGTTCCCCCTCCTTGCCTCTGACTCCTAGCCCCCGGCTCCTCTGGCTTCCTAGAAGACTCAGCTCCTACCATGGCAGGATGCCTTCTCCATCTCCCCTGATGCTGGTCCCTTCCATCCGAGATTGCCTTCCACTTTCACAGCATTATCTTTTAGGTGTATAGTTATTTACATACTGTCTCCCCCATTAGGTTGTAAGCTCCTAGAGGGCTGGGACTGTCTTGGCCTCTTTTTGTATCCCTAGCGCTTAGCACAGCACCCAGCACATATGCAATTAATAAATGTGTGACTGACTGACTGATGAATCGATAGTATATGGCACACGGGCTCTCATTAAGTGCTTACTGATTGGTTGATTGATCTATCTTTTAAGTACATGGGTATGGGCTGCCTCCCCCATTAGAAAATGAAGTCCTCGAAGCCAGGAATTGCATTTTTGCCTTTTCTTGTATCCTTAGTGCTTAGCACAGTGCCTGGAACACAGGAGGTGCTTAATTAATGTTTATTGATTGACTGATTGATGCATCTTTGAGGTATATAGTTATTTACACACTGTCTCCTCCATTAGATTGCAAGCTCCTTGAAAGCAGGGATTTTCTTTTGCTCTTTTTGTATTGTCAGCGTTTAGCATGTAATGCCTGACACACAGGCACTTAATCAATGTTTGTTGGTTGATCGATGCATCTTTCAGGCACACAGTTACTTACACACTGTCTCCCCCATTAGACTGTAAGCTCCTTGAGGGCTGGGACTCACTATGTCTTTGCCTTTCCATTCATCCTCAGCACTTAGCAAATAAGCCCAGTGCTTACTCAGTGTTATTAACACTGAGCTCCATTCCCCTCACCGAGCTCTGTCCACTTGCTGAGGCGTCATCCCGCCCCCTAAGCACACTGCCCTCCTCTACTTGACAATGCCAAGAGGCCCTCCTTGGCCCGTACACCAAAGGCCCCCAATGTCCATCATTGTTGTTGAGTCGTGTTTGACTCTTTATGACCCCATTTGGGGTTTTCTTGACAAAGATATTGGAGTGAGTTACCATTTCCTTCCTTCTCCAGCTCATTTTGCAGGTGAGGAAACTAAGACAAGCAGAATTAACTGACTTGCCTAGCATCACATGGCTAAATAGGTGTCTGAAGGTGAATGTGAATTCAGATCTTCCTGATTCCAGGCACTCTATTCACCATACCACCTAGCTACATGTCTGTGCAGACACCTATTTCCATATATGTACTGTCTCTCTGCCGGGGACAGATAGCACCAGAAACCCTCCCTAAGAGAGTCTGACCTGACATCTTCCCCTTCCCCTTCCCCTTCCTCCTCCTTTCAAGCCCAGGAAATGTTGGGGAAACACATTTGCATAGAGCTTTGCATGTGTGACTCAGGTCTGTCACAACCTCTGAGTGCCCTGAACTTCTTCAAATCCCAAGCAGCCTCCCCAGCTGATCCTCCTCTGGGCCCAGTTCACTGCAGTCCAGAGTGTCCCCACCCCACCCAGGCTCTAGAGGAAGGAACCGGGCCAACAGGCACCAAGAGCTGGAAGGGTAGGGGAGGACACATGAAGGCTCACTGGAGGAGAGGAGCACAGGAAGGGAAATGGAGCTCCCAGGATAGAGACTCCGACAAGAAAGGGACGGCAGAAGTCATCTCGTCCAACCCCTTCATTTTAAAGATGAGGACCCTGAGAAGCTAAGACCAAGGCCCCACAGTTACAAGGTGGCAGAGCTAAGATTTAAGCCCAGGTTTTCTAATTCCAGAGTCAGTGCCCATTCTACTGGACCATGCTGCCTCTGACCTCAGACGCCTCAGAGGCTGAGGGTCTCCCAGACCCTGACCCCATGGGTGCCAGCCCACAGCCAAATCCCAAACCACGTGTCCAGGCTTGGCAGCCAGGTCTCCCTGAGCTCAGGACTTAGTAAGAACCAAGATAAGAATACAACAAGAACTGCGTGTCTACACAACAGAACTTCCCTACCATGTACGACACCACAAATACACACTCCAGGGCCCTCCAATGGTCATCTTCACATCGCACACACATGCACACACATGCCCCACAGACCCACAAACGGGAGCAGCTTGTAGCTGACACCCCCACAACACACATATCTCTCATACCACATGAATACTCCACCACATACAACCTGCCACAAATCCAAACCCCAGACTTGCCCCACAAGCGCCTACATACACTCTGGTTGTGCATCACACACACCCATGTCTCACCCCAACATTCCACATGCTCCTAGACAACAATGCACAGAGTAGTAACAAACACCACAGACCCCCCCCACAAGTCCCGTATAACCACAACACACAACACCACACAAAACATACCCCAAATTAGCACATTGATGCACACAAACATACAACTATACCATAAATGCCCTCTTTCCAACTCCCCCCACATACCCTCATACAACCTTGAATTCTCACAATGCCCACAGCCACACAACATCCCATTCACTCCACAACTACATCACAAATCCACCTATCACATTGAGGGTCCAAGCAAAATGCTCACATCCCACCCCCTAACAAACACCCAGACCACACCTACTATAACATACACAGAGATCACACAACCACAACACAAATTGTCACAAGACTTCCCTGCCCCCCAGAACTCCACACAATGCCCCTCCAGCCCCTATTCCACCTCCCCAGGTCTTCCTCTGAGCCCTAAAGGCCATCCCCTGCCCAGGTCCCCTGTCCCCCCTTGCTACCTGTAGGGAGTGGGGCACAGCCCCAGCTCAGGCTTCAGCCCCACCTGCTTCAGCCCCAGATGAGGAACCAGTTTATGGGGGAGGGAGGGAAGGAGGAAGCGAAAGACTCATTCAGCCCAGCCCAGAAAGCCTTCCCCCACCCTGTAACAGCTCCCTCAGGCCCTGCTTCCCCCTGCCAGAGTCACTGGGGAAACAGCCTTGAAGCTTGGACACATGCTAGTCTCTGGTCATTCTGCTGAACTCCCAAATATTCTCCCATTACTTCACCCTGAAATATCTGTCCCCTCCTGTTTGTCACATCACCTGGAGATTTCTGCCCACCCCCCCCATCATATCATACAGAGATCTCTGCCTTCTCCTTCCTGTCCATCACATTACCCAGAAATTTGTCTCCTCCAGCCTGCCACATCATCTGGAGATTTCTGCCTTCCCCTTCTTCTTGGTCACGTTACCTGGAGACTTCTGTCTACTCCCATCACATAACCCTGAGATTTCTGTCTCTCTCTCACACACATATAACACCCAGAGATTTGTCTCCACTCACATATGGGAGATTTTTGCCTCCCAAGTCATGACACAAGAAGGCAACTGTGGTAATGAAAAAAGCCCCAGACTTGGAGGCAGGCAGTCTGGGATACATTAAGTCATAAGCATTTATTAAGCACTTACTATATGCCAGGTATCGTGTTAAGCCCTGGATATACAAAGAGAGGCAAAAACACGGTCCTTGTCTTTAAGGAACTCCAATTCCAATAGGAGAGACAATATGCAAAACAATAAATAAATCAAAGTACATACAAGATCTATACAGTCTAAGTGGAAAGTAATCTCAGCGAGAAGGCAGGATGATGCACATGCTACTAAAAAGCAAGGCTGTCTCAGGTTATGGTGGACATTGAAGGCCAGGTAAGAAATTTAAACTTTAGTAGGTTGGTCGTTGATAGGAATCTGTTATTAAGTAGAGGGGTGTCACTGGACAGGTTTCTGGCTAAGGAAGATTAATATGAAGGATGAATCAGGGAGGAGGTGGAGGAGGGGAGAGAAAGTAAAGTTGAGAAGACCTGTAAGAAAGACGGTGGCAGTGCAAACAGAAGAGATTCGAATAAAAGGATACAAGAGGCCTCAGATGGAGAAGCTGCTACAAATATGTCATCACCACCCAGACTCAGATCTACCATGACTGATAACAAGGCAGCACAACCCAGTAGGGGCTCAAGACATACCTGAGACAGAGGAAACATGGACTGGGATATATCTCAGGCTCATACACATTATCTCATGGATTTGGACACATTATTACATGCTATAATCCCAGGACTTCAGATATGGAAGAACATGCCATGCTGAGATTACTGATATCTATACCCAGAAAACCACAGATACCCAGCAGACTACCAAGAGACTACTACTGACTCCCATCAGGCTGTCAGGAGATACCTGATGCTAGCCAAGAGCACAGCCTGGTGGATTCAGGAACCAGCTGAATAGTTAAATTGTTGAACCCAAAGAACAGACATCAGGAAAACAGTTTGGTTGGAAGGTCTCTAGTGGAGTGCCTCAGGAATCTGTGCTGGCCCTGGGCAGTCTCACATTTTTATCAGTGACTAAGATGAAAGCATTGATGGCATGTTCATCGAATGCAGAGATGATTCAGAGCTGGGAGAGAGAGCTCACATGTTGGATGAGAGTCAGGATTCAAAAAGTCCTGGGTGCCCCTACTTTAGTTATAGCTCTTGTCGCTCTCCATTTTGAAATTAGTTAATGCTGGACAATTTGAGGTAGGAACATTGGGCAGGATCTAAGAAACTGAACTTTAATAAGCTAGAGAATGTCCAGAAGACAGTAATTAGCAATGAAGAGTCTCAAGTTTATGCCTCCTTAAGAGGACTGGTTGAAGAAAATGAGAATGTTCAGTCTGGAAGAGGAAAGACTGAAGGGGGATATGATAGCTTCTTTCAAGTATCTGAAGGGCTGTGATGAACAAAAAGGATTAGACATACCTGAAAAAATTGTTAGGCATTCCCTTTGATGAAAAAGGGATTATTATTATTAATTTAGCATTTATACAGTGTTTTAAAGTATGTAAAGCACTTTACATATTTTACCTAATTTTATGCTCCATACTATTTAGGTGCTTAATAAATATTTATTGACTGCCTGAACGATTGATAAATACTCAAAGGACATGAGCAGCTTTCAAAAAAGTAACAACAAA